GTGAGTCCAATGTATAACTCCAAAAGAGTATGTGAGTATTGGGACAACATATGTGTTCATTGCTTTAACTGTGTGTTTTGCATTTAACTGTGTTCTGAGAATAGCATTTAACCTACTTTGGTATTCTTTATTTAATCTTTGCTTTGTTTGTGTTCTTTTAGTTTGGCCTGTTGGAATCCTAAATACTTGTAGAACTTGCCATCTTCCCTGGATTCAATAACATGTCCATTTCAAAGTGCAAAATCTTTCTTCAGGACTCCTTTTTCTATGTGAAGTGTTTTGTATTTGTCTAGGCCAAACTCCATTTGTATGTCCTTAGTGAATGAATATGTGATTTGTAGGAATTGATAAAGTTGTTTTCGTGTGGATGCATAAAGTTTTATGTCGTCAATGTTCATGAGATGTGACAGTGTAAATTGTGTTGTTTTTTCATGTCTGATATTGTAACCATATATGTTGGATAATGGGTTCAGGGCTAAGCAGAACCAGAAAGAACTCAAGGAATTGCCTTGAAAAATTCCTTGCCTAATGAACATTTTATTTTGTTTGTATGCAAGTGTTTATGCATCCTGAGATGAAGTGTTATTCTCCAGTGCTGCAGTGTTTTGGAAGAATGCAACGAGTGATGGATATATTTTGTACATGTGTAGAATGTATAGCAGCCAAGTGTGTGGAACACTGTCAAATGGTTTTCTGTAGTCTATATATGCCATGTGTATGTTTCTGTGTTGTTTGTGTGCTTGCCATAGAATGACTGAATCTATGAGTAACTGTTCTTTGCATCCCATGATTTCTATGGCAAACTTTTTGACGAGATTATGTCTTGTCTCTAAAATTGTGCTGCTGTCAATGGCTGCACACCTTAGAAGTATGAAGGAGTACTGTACATGTAAAGAGTTGCAATTTGGCACAGAGTTTTTGGTGCCCAAATCATGTGCACATAAAATAAACCAGACTTGTAGATAATCAGGAGACTGAGAACCAGGTCAAAAAAACAGAAAAAAAAAAAAAGTGAAATGCTGAGACTGTTTCTACAAACAGGCACGAGTGCGAGATTTGTGCATGTGTTGCTCACGCTCTCCAAGACATAGTCTCGTCCCAAAAATGGCTTTGCTGTTTTACTTGTTGTTGTTCTGTAAAAATGTTGTGTTCTTCAACATGCTTGTATATTTTGTTTTAAATACAGGCTGTCAATAATTTGTAGAATGTTGGAAGACATGTAATTGGTCTGTATTGTGTAGGGTTTACAGTATTGTTGTTTTAGGTTTCATCTAAGTGATGCCCCGAGGAAGAAATTTTGGCATGTCTTATGGATTGACGATGGTGTGTGTTAGATGTTTAGCTAGTTCCTGGTGCAGTGATGTAAACTTTTTGTACCAGAAATTGTGAATGTTGTCTAGGTGTCTTCCAGTTGTGTGTTCTGTTAACAGCGTAGTGGATGTCGTATATGTTTATTTCTGCATGGGGCATAGTGGTATGTTTTGCAAGTTTTTGTTCTCCTCCCTGATCCAGTCTGCATCAGCATTTTGTGTAACAGCACTGGACCAAAGAGAAGCCCAAAAATTTGTGAGTTCTTCTTCTGTTAGTGTGCCACTGTGCTGAGTATCAGTGTTTGTTTTGGTACTGATTTGTCTGTACAAAAGGTTTTTCATTGTTTGTAAATAATTTATTTTGTTGTTTTCAAAGTGTACATGTTTTGTATCGTTTGAGTCTACGTGCTTTGGCTGCGAGTTCTTGTTTTAGTGTATCAATTTATTCTGTAATGTGTGTGTTGTGATGTTCATGTTTTGTGTGTGTTTTGATTTTCTTGAAAATATTTTTGAGTTGTGTCTTTAATTTGAGTGTTATGTTGTTTTTAGTGTATTGTGTCAGTGTGCCTAATTGCTATCTAATGTCATTTATTTGTGTTTCTGTTCTTCTCTGCCAGGCAGGCTTGTGACAGAATTGTGTTTTGTGTGTGTCTGTCTGTGATTGTATTTTCAGTCCATGGTGTGTCACTTCTGTGAATGCCTCAGCATAAACTAATATGTGAAGTCTGAGAGTGTAGAAATTAAATGGATGTAGTGTGGTAGTAGATGAGTGTTTACATAATTTAGTGTTTTTCCTACTACCTTTGAAGTGTTGATTTTTGGTGTTTGTGATCTTTGTGTGGGATCTGTACCTGAATATTTAGTGATTGTTTCCTGAAATATAAGTGAGAGCATATTAACTAAATCTATGTCTATGTTATTAGTGGTGAATGAGAAAGTGACTGTAGTATCATTAGTGGTAGTTGTTGTGTGTGCTATAATCAGTGCTTGTTGCTGGATTATCCAGACAGGTTACATGATCTTCATTAATGTTAAATGTTACTGTCTGTTGATGTATTTGATCAGCAACCTGTTCTTTGATAAGTTTGAGTGATTTTGTAGGACAAGGTTGTTGTGTATAATTGTTCTTTTTTGAGTAACAACTCTTTGTTCGGTGACAGTGAGGTGAGGATATTGTTGTGTAAATCTATGGTGTAGTTGTTGTCTGTATGCTGTCATGTTTGTTTCAAGTCTTGTGATGGTGTAGTAAGTACGAATGATAAACTTGTTCATTTCTATTGTCCATTTCATCCAATGGTGTGGTTTTTCATATTCAGTTTGCTTAATAAATTACATCAGTTACATGCATTTGGCATATTATACAAAAATATTAAATCTCAAATAACTCAATAATTTGAAATCTTGAATAATTCAATGTAATTATTTCATCCACTGAATTTCAAACTAACAAGGATTTCCTGTATCTTTAATTACAGACATAATTAGCAATTGACAAGCAGTTACGCACCAAGATGGAGACATTGAAATCAAATGAAATTTTATTAATGCAAGTGTAATGATGATGATAATAAGTGATTAAAATATCATAACAAAGGAACAATTTCTTGTGGAACAACAGTACAATTTAATATATATTAAGTATATAAAGTAATTTAATGTATTGTTGCAAGTAGCCAGGCAACCTCCTTTTGCCTGGCTATTGCAACAATACATTCAGCATACAGGCACTGTATGCTATCCTGTGATAGATTTTCCCACAAGTGTTGGAAGTGATGCTTTAGATCCCTTCACACTCATAGATGGCCAAAACTGTCATCATATCTGGTTCCACAAATCCATAATTTGGCAACAAATATGAAGATCAGGCAGGCCAAGTGTGGCAATGTGACAGAGGCATTCCTGCCTGGAAAGTCATAGCTGTGTACAGCAGAGCATTAGCTTGATGCAAGATGACTGTTTGCTGTTCTGCCATAAAAGGCAACATATGCAGATGCAGGATTTTCTAAACACACTGCTGTGCCATCAATGTGCTTTGCATTAGGGATGACCAACTATCATATAAGATGGCTCCCAGACTAGTACAACAGCAGTAAAGATAGTATGCCATTCAGGATTGAAATGCTCATCAGTAGACCTCTAACATGATGGTCATTTGTTCCCAGATGCGAGAACAGAACCAGATGCATTGCTAAAGACAGTATGTTGCTAGTCCATAAAAATCCATACTTTTCTGTCATGGCACCAAGCAAAACAGACAATGTTTGAGTGCTAATAGCAGGATATATATGGTCAATTTGTATGCAAACTAGTCTCAGCTAGTTGCCTACTAATGATACAAAAAGAAACGGAATTCCACAGAGAAATTTCCATTTTCTCCAGGTGTAGACAAAAATATCATAGCAGATATTCATGCTTGTCTCACAATCAGATCATCACTCCTGCTGGTGGTCTTCCTGCAATGTCCAAAGTCTGATGACCTGTGTCTTGACATATCCAATGTCCCCAACAACTCAGTCAAATCAGAATGACCCAAATGACAAGCAATTCAGCAAAATCACCTTCCCTCAGCCTAATACTGCAAGTCTTTCTCAAACTTCCATTAATGCATGCTTTGACTGTCATACAGAAATGATTAATGTTTGCAGATTTTCAAAGAACAGATAAACTCAAAATTTTGGACAGTGAACCTGCAAGTCTTTTATAGGATACTGGAGTAGTAATTTTATAACATTCTGCTGTCATTACCTGACATACAATTGAACCATAATTATAATCATTTAAATACCTGTCTGATACATAGCTATATGCAGTAGTTGAACAATTATAACTACAGTAGAGCATCGATTATCTGAAACAATTCGGGACTGGGGTTGTTTGGTTAACTGGTATTTCAGATAACTGATCATGTATGAAAAAATATATTAACCAATTACATGTTGAAATTTTTCTCCATTGTGTGTCTCTTTGCATTGAATTTTCGTCAATGTTAAGCCTAATGAAAATTTTTCAAAATATTAATTGTGACTATTGTATCATTAAAAATTATTTCTTTATTTTGCACAAACAAAATAAATATATTGAAAAATACAAAATTAATTATATTTCAGAAGTTAATCTAGTATCAAAAATGTTCCGATTCAGCATGTCCCGACAACACAGTTCTCAGAAAAACACCATACAAAACAAGTAAAACTTTCTTTTTCTTGGGTTTATCAGGAGATATCAGCCACTTGGGCTGTATTCTCCGACGAGCTGAAGCAAAACACACCCCTCACAATGGGGAAAAAAGCCTCGTTCAAATACTGGCACGTCCTTAAGTACCCTCTTGACGTTTGTTGTGCTGAATCGGAACGTTTTTGATACTAGATTAACTTCCGAAATATAAGTTTTTTGTTTTTATATTTTTCAATATATTTATTTTGTTTGTGCAAAATAAAGAAATAATTTTTAGCGATACAATATGGTCGTGCCAGTGCTGCCAGCTAAAACACGCACACCACAAAAATAATATTGGAGTAGCCCAAGACAGCCAAATATTGCAGTGCGCTAGTGGAAATTTGAATTTGCTGACTGGATTGCTTTTGTTTAACTGATATTTTGGTTGATCAGTATTTGGATAATTGATTTGGATTAACTTTTTGTTAATGAGTATATTATGAAATAACTCATTTTGAAAAGATTAAAATTTACCTCTCCAGTAATAAAAGATGCTGTAGATAGAAAATAAATTGCTTCAGCCACCTCTTCAGGCATTCCGGTTCTTTTCAAAGGAATAAAAGATTTGATTTTATCTATATCAAGACTTGAAGTCATTTCTGTTTCAATAAACCCTATAATGTAATAAAAATTTTTGTTAATTTCTCAAAAAAAATTAATTTCAATATGAAGTGAACTCTTTAATAAGTACATTTATTTTATAACAACAGAGAAAATTATATAAATATATATATAAAACAAATCATATGCTAATGAGTGACCAAGTAATGCAAGAGAAAATTGATATTTGAAATTTGTCTGTTATAATTTGGTTTTGACTTTTAATTTTATTAATCAAACCAAAACTCTAAAATGAACTCTACCATAAACATCCATCATGAGAAAGAACAATACTTCATGCAAGATACTCATCAACTGTTTGATGACACTTGCCATAAGTAAGAATCAAAGAACTGAATTGTCAATGGAAGAGGAAAAACTTCTTTCCAAATTTGGAATATTCCAGAAAGTAACCACCAGACGAGAGTTTCCCATAAAAAAAAAACAGAGAGAGAGAGAGACACAGATAGACAGACTGATATTGCAACAGTGCAAGTAGAACAGAGTAGATCCAAGATGTGGAGGACTTTAATCAATTGTTAACTATCCATCAACATCTATCATGCCAGCTGCCAAAACAAACTGGGTTCTTAGTCACAATCTGTCTTTTGTTTATTCATCACTTCACCACCAGACCAAATGAGATAGACAACTCACCTTCAGATCACCAACTATAGTCATAACATTTGTTGAACATTATGTAAACTCTCTCACACACATGGTACTTATTATCCTATAAAAAATATATGTAGAGATTTAAGTGTGTGTGGCCAATCTCCATTAGGACTCACAAGACATGACTTTCAGCAAGGGGTGTCACAAAATAATTTTTTGAGGTTTGCATAGACCAACTATTTAGGCCAGACCACTGCATTTATATAAACAAACTGAGAAATCTCACAGTAATCAAAATGTTAAAGAAACAAGTTTTAAAGCAATAAAATTGTAAAAAGTACAGAATTTTTACCAAGTGCATATTTCATTGGTGTTATTAATCTGATGTACTAATCCTTTTAGTAGAATAAATAAAACTGAATTTTTCTAAATATCGATTGATACAAGTAAATCAAAGAAAATGTATTGTCAATTACAATGTAAAAGCATTGTAATTGACATAAAGATTATGTTTAAAATTCTATAATAATCAAGATTTGATAAAAATAATTTTCAGTTGTAAAACTGCTGAAAGTATTTCATTACTATATTAATTTCGCATTCACTTTTATTTTTTCTTTACAAGTGGAGTATTTACTCTGAATTACTATTAATTTTGAATTTCATAAGATTTATAATACTTGATAATTTCACAAATGCACATTGGTTCAAATTATCTTTTGTATACCAAATGTAATAATAAGCTACAGAATTTATTATTATTTAATAATTTGGAAAAAAATCAAACTAATAAATTTATTAAAGTTGAAATGCCATTTGATCATAAACAAAACAATTTACGATCAAACAACATTTCAACATTTATATATTTATTTTGGCTATAGTTTTCAAAATGTCTATAATCAAAATAATCTGTGGTCAGTACAGCATATAAAATAATAAGGTCATAAGACTGTAATCAAATTGATATATATATATATATGTAGAAAAGATTCATGTATTCAACACATATATCAATTTGAACTTTACCTTAGAACTGGCAACATACTCAATGTAAGAAAAATATGTATTTGAATTTTGTAAGAAATATGAATTTGAATTCAACTCTAAAATAATCTTGATATTTTTTTATTTAAAGTTAATGTTAATTTATGTAATAAGTTTTAATTACCTACAATAACATTTATTTTTTTATACTTTTACCTAATTTTCTCTAAATTATTACATAAAAGAGTAAATTTAGCAAATTATTATTATATTTGAAGCTAAAACATATACTACAGTCTCCTTTTATATGAGGGTTTTGTTGTCCCGGATTAGCAAATGTAAGAGCATGTTGCTTGAAGACTAAAACCACTATATTATAGATTTGGTTGTAAAAATATTTTACATGAAAAAATTTCTGGACTATGATTTTAAACAATGGTTTTGCATTTGCACTTTTTGCTGCTGTGAATCACAATACATGTGACTTTATTTGTTCTTGCTGGAAGTCAGAATCTCACAAGATTTATTTTGCATTTCATTCATTAGACACTGTTTATTATAATCAAATATATTATAATCAGTCATTTAATGTTATCAAAATCAGCAAGTTCCAAAACATAAATTAAAATATATTTTATAAAAATTTTCAAAAAATGTTCATATATCTGAAAATACATTAAGCTGTCTTTTCACATTATCAATCTCAAAATATGGCTGATAATGTTCAATCATTACCAGTCTTAATCAATGCTTTAAATGTTATATTGTTTTAATTGTAATTTGTTTGCAATAAATTGCTTTGGATGAATTAGTAATAATGAGTTAATAATAACAAGCAATTATTTATTGTGACATCGTCATAATGCTAGGCTGCAATTTTTAATCATATTTTTATTTAATTTAAAATATACACTCTCCACCTCAAATTAGTGCTGTAGTGTCTTGCCCCTGTACATAATACTTTTCCTTTAACAATAGAGTTATGCCATCATCTGTCTAACAGCTTTCAGGGGAAAAGTTTTGAATTGAAATAACACGACTTCTGGTTTGCATCAGAAGTTTGTATATAATTGATCGAGCCTCATGCCCCTAAGGCTTCCATATCTGATCTCATCTTTTATCTATCCAGCTCTGTTCTTGAGATTAAGAAGGACAGACAGTAGGAATTTATAGGTCTACAATTTTTTTCAAATTGTAGCCCAATAATAATAATAATTAATTAATTTTGCAAGTTATACAATTATTAATTGTTTTAATGTGTCTCTTCAATGTCAGTAAATTAAACTGGAATTTCCATTAATTGTAGTTTCTTTTACTTGCTTCATTTAATGCCATCATTTAGTTATCATCATCAGTATAGGCAAGTCTCAGTGATTATAACTAAGATTCTGCCGTATTTGAATTTAAGTATGTACCCAAAAAAAACTTTCAAATATCAATTACATACATTTGGATTTGTGTAAATAGACTTTGTGCAAATTGAAAGTCAAGTATATCTTTTTCACACTATTTGAATGGTTATTAATTAATATAATATTAATTTGTAAGACAGTATATTAATATTATAAATTTTACAGATTAAACTGAAAATTAATTTACAACCATACCAAAAACACTTTTATTATCCAGCATAATTTTATTTTCTTCAGAACAAATAATTTTGGTTATGTTTTTCTATACTTCATAGATAACGTACTAAATGATTATTTAAAATAACTAAAACTATTTGATCTTAAATAAAACTTTACTGGATCAAAATATTTTAAGACTGTTTATAAATAATTAACATAATAAACGTTCAAATACATTTCTTTTAGAATTTCAACTTGTGTAGGATACAAAGTTTATATCTCTAATGAAATTTAATGACAATAAAATTGCATTACTACAAAGAGTTTATGAGTAATATTAATATTTTAATATTTCAAAATGTAAATACTGTAAAGAGATGTAGGTGTGTAAAGTAATAACTATATTTCCTCTGTACTTTCTAATTTGTTTCAACGATATTGATATAAATATAAGTAGAAATTCAGTAATTAGTAAAAATCTGTATAAATGTAAATAAAAATTAGACATATCTAAGGTTTAGTAGAATTAAGTAACAATTCTATGCACGGAAAGCTAGAACTTATGTAAATAAGTAATATAAAACCTTCGACACTTTTTCTAGCAATTTTCTTTAATTGATCTAATGTTTTTGGCTATATTTAATGGCCTTCCTCAGGTTCAACAATACTTGGAATGTCAGATCAGAATGAAAACAAATTTTTGAATATCTGACTTTTCAAATATTGTCGAACCTGAGGAAGGCCATTAAATATAGCCAAAAACGTTAGTTTGATTAAAGAAAATTGCTAGAAAAAGTGTCAAAGATTTTATATTACTTATAGATTAAATAACTTAAAATTTTTGATATTTTATTAGCTAAAACTAACTTATAATAAGAATAAATGCCTGAACAGACACAAGAAAATAACGAGAAAAATATATCAGCAGAATTTTCAGCTAAACATCAAAACTTAAAAGACTAACTTATGGTATTAAATTAAATGCTCAATGATTTTCATAAATCATACACTTAGCAGAAGCATTAAAATCTACAACATAACAATGAAGATTTTAAAAGTTCTTTAAAAAATCTAGAGATTGGAATATTCAGTACACAACAAGAAATTGTAGAATGAAAATTAACTGAGATACTGGAAACTTAAATGGTCTACAACTGAAGAAATTAATGGTTTATTAAAAATTGTCAATTTATGAAATTTTTTATATTTCTTGTTATGAGGAGATTGTTAAGACGATTTTAATCAGCTCTTTAAAAAAAATCTGAATATGATTATGAAATTGTTAACAATATACCAAAAATCATCTTTAAATCAATATTTTTGAAATACACTATAACTGATATATTTTAATATAAAAAAAAATATTATAGATGATTTTTGTTTTAAATAAGTAATTCATCTGTTGAAAATGCAATCAAATCATTTGAAATATTCTGTGTAAAATAATCTAATAATTTTAAAATATTTAATATTTATTCTGACAAAGTTTTATACCACAGAATGTTTTAAATAGTAATTAAAAATCTTAAAATAAAGCAAAATACCTGGTATTATCAAATTGACTGTTACATTTCTGGATGCTACTTCTCTAGCCAAAGACTTTGTAAATCCTACAAGACCTGATTTAGAGGAACTATAAATTGTTTGACCAATATTTCCTTTTTGTCCTACAATACTTCCTGTAAATACAAAAAAATAACCATCACAACTAATAAAGTTCAAGAATCTATTATTTTCATTTAAATTTATTTTCTTGATGAAGTGTTTTTTAATAAGATTGTTTTTCCATTTCTGTTACTATATCAGACTTTTAAATGACACCCAACCATACAGAACTGCTATCATCAGATCAACAAATAAATTCATTGTTATTCTAACTTCTTGTTCTGTTTCTTTTACAGTTTCTATTTCAAGCATATAGTGTTGCTTTACATGGACTTGTATGTTAATTCAGCTGTAGCAGAACACTATTCAAAACAGGTTGTGTAATTGAAAACCAAAAAAATAATATAAAAAGAAAACTACACAAACAGCTACAAATTATAAAAATTCCTCCTCCTAGTAAAATAAATTTACATACAGGTATTAAAATAGATGATATCTGGCAACATGTTATATAAAGTAATGCAACTCTATTACTCAACTTATTGTTGTGGTTCTTTCTCCTATTTCAATGTTAAGACCCATGAATGAAATAAATCACAAATGATAGAAAGGGATTATAACCTTTTTTATGTATTTTTTAATTGCTATTATAAGTTGCCTTTTATTGTAAGTTTTAGATATAAAAATAAAATAAATTATTATTTTAATAAAGAGTTTATTATATTTAGATCCTAATCTACATAAAAAAAAATACGATTGTATTAAGTATACTACAACAAAAAACATCTATGAAAAATATATGTAACTGCAGTTTATGGTTGATTGTAAAAAATTGTAAAATAATTTATATTATAGTATTTTAATACATTTATGTAACGTTCTGTATGATTAGTATAATTTCTTAAGTCTGATCTGATGATGAAATGCAAATAATCTTAAAAAATGTTTAATCAAAACAATAAATTTGGAAAAATAACAAACACAATAAAATTTAATAAATTTGGACTCCTTGAATTTTATTAGTTGTCGTGTAATTTACAATAAAAGAGGGAATTGGTGGTCAAAAAACAATTATATACAAACAGCATTTTGTTATTAAAAATTTATTTTAATTATTTTTGATCTTGAAAATAATGTATTTTGTTTTTAACTATTTAAGAAAATTTCAATATCCTTCTTTAAAAATAGTTTATTAAATTATAAAATTTGTTTCTTCTTTGTAGAAACTCTATCAAAGTTTTTATTGAGAGCTATAAGCTTTAGAGAATAGGAGAAGAAATAAAAGGATCTAAATTTTATAACACATTTATTTATTTATATTGTTTTAAAAGCTTATATTATGAAAAAAATGTATAATTCAACTATCACAGAATTCTTCACTGACAAAGAAATCAAGTTTGATATTGTAAATTATTTACTTACCAATATTTATAATGCTTCCAGACTTTCTCCTCATCATTGATTTTATAAATGTTTTGCAGACTTTTATAGAACTTATGAGATTTGTATCTATAATTTGCTGCAATTCTTCTTCATCTGTTTGTAGCAGCAGTCGATTAATATTTACTCCTGAAATTAATTTTAAAACTTCAGAAAAAATTTATCCTTAAGTTTCCTTCTAAAATATTTAGTAAGATAATGTTTATAAATAATTTGCTTACTAACCCATTCAGTAGTGCTGTTAAGATTATAATTGTTGATACATGTATATAGTACATTTGTATATCAGTTCTATTTCTTGAAATACAGTAAATATTGTTATGCTTGTACTTTGTGTTTGTAGTTTAAAGTAATATTAATTTTATAAACTATGTTTTAAATAAAATTAAGTTATATGACTAACAACAATGACAATGTGCTGAGTTAATACATAATAGGGAAATGAAATGGGATAATGGTTTAGTGCCACATAATGAGCATTAGAGCAAGTAGGTTTTATTGGGAACTGAAAAAGTCCTTTAGAATATGGAAAGTCATGATAACTCTAGTTATAAAGAATCTTTAAGCAAACCAGAATGAATAAATTAATGATGAGCAATGTAGTCCAGAAGCAGCTGGCTGTGAATCAGCAGCAGTTAGTTTGCTACCAGACCAAGAAGCACTGATTGTAAGCCAGCAGCAGCAGGCCTGCAGCTAGATCCTGGAGTCATTAATTATGAACAGACACCGGTAGACTTTCTGCCTGGACCTGACGTTACTAATAGAAAATCAGAGCAATCACCAAGAATCTTAAAAGACATGCTAGAAAGTCCCAGAAAAGGCCTGACATTTAAATCCTCAAACACACTTATTGAATATTATCAATTGCCAAAACTATGCATTGGCCAAAGAAGCCAAAAGTTTTATCAAGTAATCTCCAGAACCCTGTTGCCAGACCCAGGTTCTGTGTCATAAGTCTTTAAAGGATCTGAGGAAAGTCCTCATGTTTTTGGCCTGGTATCAGCATTGAAACCTTTACAGATAGTGAGCCAAATTTGACAATGATCAAAGAAATTTCCTGCTCTTTAAAGGCCTCAATGCACTCTCTAAGTCAAGTAACACTTCTCAAAGAGAAGCAAGCCAATCTCAATGACCCCAAAAAAAAGTTGCAAGAAACAAACCTAAGAGGGTCATCCAGACTCAGATTTGTTGATCTCCTCTAGGAGAAAATCCTGAATTTGATCTGACAAATTGGAAGAAATTTAAATGTTTGGTTAGCCATCAGAAATGATGGCCACTAGTAGTTCTGCATCAATGCCTTCAGTTCCTTCCTTTAGGAACTTTTGGACACTTTGGTTACCAAGGAGAGAGAGTATATTCAAAACTAAGACTAAATAAGACCACTCATAGTCTCAAGAATGTCCTTCTCAAAAATGGTGAAAGCAGAAGAGATGGCAGGGATATCTGACAACACCATATCCTCTGCTGCCTCTTCTACACTTTGTTGTCTTTGACTGCAAGTGAACAAATTTTAAGAAACAGTGTCTCTCTTGCCAAGGAGCAGTACGACCCATCTTTAGCCATAAAGACTCCAGGAGAAGTGACAGGAGCTTCTGAAGAAGTTACATCTTCTGCCTTCTACTATCTATATCTCTGCCATCACTTTGCAGTCTTGGAAAAAAAACAAGGATCAAAGAAGATCTCTGAAAGACATACTGAAAAGGATAGCAATGGTATCCTTTTCAGCATGCTTTGCTGACTCTAATGACACTTTAAAAGGAGTAGGAGGCAGATCAATTAAATTCCTTGAACCATTTAGAAAAATGCCTGTGGGAGTTTTCTAAATCAATGTGTAGGCTTATACATAGGAAAAATATATTATCACAATCTCAAACTCCCCAATACAGACACAAGACTAACTACAATGGTGTGTCACTTGATGTCTCAAAGGAATTTTTCATGGTATCCATTATACTACCTGGAATCTGGAACTGGGTACCTTCCAGTCCTTGGCATAATGTCTCCTATCTTGGCATTGGTGAGTGTCCCTCTTAGTTAGACCCAGCTGTGGCTCTCAGGTGAGAAAACTCTACTGAGACACTGCAGCACAAATCACCAAGCTCCACCACAATAAAGCAAAGACGAAAAAGGGGGTTTCTTGTTACACTCTTCCAAGATGAAGAATCATTTTATGTATTGTTTCATTTTAATTGCTTATAAATAAACAATTATGATATTAATCATGCAACTTTATTTTATATTATTTATTTTTCTTCACATCAGTATTAGCAATTAACAAAGCTGAAACAAATTTTATTCTTTTATCAGAAATATTGCACATTTTAAAAAGACATTATCTACATTATAAATATGCTACATGTGATACAGAATGTGATGTGATATAATATCACCTTACATCAGAAATACAATACTTTTCCAAGACAAATACAGTATAAACCAAAACAATAAAACGAAAAAAGTTCTGCGAAATACAGTGGGTGATCAGTTAACGAACATAATCCGTTCTAAGACTTTGTTCACTATCCAAATTGTTCATTAACCAATTATCAATTTACCATAGGTTTTAATGGAAATTTGATTAATTCATTCTGGAGATCCCCAAAAATAAAAAATATATAATTTCTCAGATGTGATTTTTGTTACTCCTTTAGCTGCTTGAGTCTTCTTGATTATACAGTATCCTTCTTAAATAAGATTGAACTGCAGCCTACTGTAGACCTGTTCCCACCATACTGCCCAGCAACATTAGGCATCTTCTGCCCACTCTCTACCTTTGTTTTTATACTCTCACTTTTCAAAAAGAAAACAGATGCAAAACATAATAAGTGCCTACCCAACAGTTTGCGAATACATAAAAGAATTGTTTTTGTCAAAAAAATAAAAGGATAAAATTTCAAGGGAGAGTTTCAAAGTTCGGAGGAATACTATCTGATCGGTATATACTGGGTTGAGCGTCGATGTCGACATCTCCCGCACTCTGAAAAGTTTCAAATTGTTGCCCGAAGACAAGGGAAGACCAATCGGTATTCATTATTTTACGTTGCTTCTTCTTGTGTTTGTTCTGTGGGATGTTCATTGTCCGAACATAAAAATCTTTTGCGAAAGTGTTCATTATCCGATTTGTTCGTTAACCGATCACCCACTGTATATAAAATAATAATATTAAAAATAAAATAAATGCATTTACAATTTTCTATTAGTAAATTAATTAAAAAACAAAAATTTAACCAATTATTAATGGTAAATTATTATTTTTAATATTAATATTTTTAGTTATTTCAAAATTTTTTCTCAGAAAACCAGAATTTGAAATCTACAATACATTCATTATAGAACAATTTTAAATACCAAATAAAGCATAAGAAATATTATTACTTTTAATTCATTAAAATGATCAGACTTAGAGGATGTTTTCATGCTGGAAGTCAG